GCTGGACACCACTGGGAAACTGCTTGAGAGGGTCATCCTCAACAGGCTGTCGGCCTACACCGAAAGTGTAGACGGCCTGTCAAGCAGCCAGTACGGGTTCCGAAAGGGCAGATCCACGGTGGACGCCATCCGCGACGTCATCCAGACGGCAGAGGTGGTCCATCGGAAACGAAGGGGCATTCGCTACTGCGCGGTGCTAACCTTAGACGTGAAGAACGCGTTCAACAGCGCGTGCTGGGGGGCGATAGCCCGCTCGCTACACCAGCTCCAAATTCCCGGAGGGCTGTATAAGATTCTGGAAAGCTACTTCCAGAATCGTGTGTTGACGTACGACACAGAAGATGGCGAAAAATGCGTTAGAGTCACCGCAGGTGTGCCACAAGGCTCCATCCTGGGCCCGGTGTTATGGAACGTCATGTACGATGGACTGTTGAGGATAAAATTCCCGGTAGGCGTGAAAATTGTAGGTTTTGCCGACGATGTCACGCTGGTAGTCTGCGGGGAATCCCTCGAGGAGGTAGAGCTGACAGCGGCCCACTGCGTCAGGCTTGTGGAGGAATGGATGAGAACCAGGAAACTGGAGCTCGCCCATCACAAGACGGAAGTGGTCGTAGTCAACAATCGCATGTCAGTACAGCATGCAACGTTGACAGTCGGCGGAAGCACAATTAGGTCTGTGCGCTCTCTAAAACTCTTGGGGGTCATGCTCGACGATAAGCTCAGCTTCGGCTGCCACGTCAAGTACGCCTGCAAGAGAGCGTCTATGGCTGTGGGGGCATTATCCCGTATGATGTCAAACAGCTCGGCAGTGAATGCCAGTAAGCGCAGGCTCCTCGCTGGGGTCGTAGTATCTATCCTCAGATACGGCGGCCCTGCGTGGGCTGCGGTACTGGATATTGACTGCCACAGGCAGAAATTAGAGAGTACACACAGGCTAATGTGCTTAAGGGTGGCCAGTGCATACCGCACTATCTCGAGAGAGGCCGTCTGTGTCATAGCAGGGATGATGCCAATCAGCCTTATCATTAAGGAGGATGTGGTGTGCTATGACGCGAGGACCGTTCGAGGGGTGCGCAACAACGCGCGAGTTGTGTCGACCGCGAGATGGCAATTGGAGTGGGAAAACTCCACAAAGGGAAGGTGGACTTACCGCTTGATACCTTCCGTATCAAGCTGGGTCAACAGGCGCCATGGGGAAGTAAACTTCCACCTGACACAGTTCCTGTCAGGCCATGGCTGCTTTAGGAGCTACCTGCATAGGTTCGGACATGCAAGTACTCCCACCTGCCCCACATGTGCTGGTGTCGAGGAGACCGCCGAACACGTCGTGTTTGCCTGTCCACGTTTCGAGCCAGTATCGAGCGCTATGCTAGCGATATGCGGAGCGGATACCAGTCCGGACAACATCGTTCATAGGATGTGTGGTACCACCGAGAACTGGAGCGCGGTGGTGACTGCGGTCACCCACATAGTTTCGGTATTACAACGACAGTGGCGAGCCGAGCAGCAGTTACCTACTGCCCGACCAGATCGTTAGAGTATTGCTAGAGAGGCGCCATAGCGCTACAGCGGCCCCTCCCACGAAGTAATGCCTTCGGGCGGTTCCGGGGAGGCCAAGGGCCAAGCGCACAGGGTAAGTTTTAGTGGGTCGGGAGTGAAATTCTCCCATCCCCACACCCTGAGTTCCTTCTCAGGTGTCTGTGAGCAGATTCCCCCCTGTATAAAAAAAAAAAAAAAAAAAAAGGTAGCGATGGTTAGCGGTTTAGACACCATATTGGATTATTGGCTTATTGCGGCACTTATGTAGAGCACCGGTCATGTTGATGGAAATCTCCATCAATTCAGCGGCTGAGAACAGATCGGGATTATTTTGTTGAGCTGTTGGTTGTCTCCAGAATCCAGGGGGATGGAGAGCTTAGTCCGGCAGAAGAACCAGATGTTTTTTGAAGGGGGGCGGATCGCACCCTTGGATTCACTTGTCCATGAAGAGGCGGAAAGTCCTCCGCCCTGAAAGCCGGAGCCTTATCCTTCCTTCGTCCTGATTGATTGTTGATGGACGCCTGTTTTCGGATGCGCTTGAAATCCTCGCGTTTAGGGCACTGCTTGTCAGATCCTTGGTGAGCACCACCACAGTTGGTGCATTTGGACGCCACAGCTTCATCCGCAGCACATTCGGAGGTGGCATGGTCTTGAGCGCAATTTCCGCAGCGTGGCCTAATGTTGCAGTTGCGGGTACCGTGTCCGAAGTTCAGACACCGCTGGCACTGAGTCACATCGCGATGGCCGCCACGGTATGGCTCCCAGCGAACGATGATGGAATTGATGGACCGGATGGCTTTCAGTGCGTTGAGCGTCACCGTTCCCTTCTGGAAGTGTACCAGGAAAAGGCTATCCGGATACGCCTTCACATTCTCGTCTCTTCTTGTCATTCGATACACGGCACTTCTCACCGGGAATGTCGTGGGTAAAGAACTCCACCTTGGAAGTCCTCAGGTGGGTGACGACCAAGTCATACTCCGTTTTGGTACGGAGCACCACCTTAGTGCCGACTCTGCCCAACTTGTACTCGGCTTTAACGCCCAGCGTCGCTAGATCCGCAATGAGCACATTAAGATGGGCATTTTTCACTACCAATGGCTTCACTTTTGCCGTGCTCATTTCGGCAGTATTCTCGGTTTCGGCAGCGTCACCGAAATCTCCAACATCACTGTTGTTCGTCGCAGTGACATCAGACTGGCCTCGATTCTTCTTCCTTTTCTTGCTGCGTTTTTCCAACACAGCTGGCTGGATATTCCCATCCATGGGGAGAACAGCAAACCTGTGCGAGGTAGGCACACCGGAGCTCCCTTCATCGGGGTTCTGGACCTTCGCCGGGCTTCGCGACCGATGCTTCCCCATTTCGGGGCACACACACACGCACGACAAACAACTCGAGAGAGCGAGCTAACTCCGAACTGAACTGCTTGATGATCAAGCAGAGAATGACCATCATGAGCAGAAGCAGGAGAGCAGCGCTGATTTATATTTTTTCAGGTTCAAGCAGAATGATGTGCAACCAAGTGGTATTCGTTTATGATGACTGGGTTTGGGAAAAAGGCTTATTTCACGAAAACAGTGATAAAATTATCATTCGTACATTTTCAAAAGTTTAATTATAGAAAAATTGGAAAAATATTTATTTCAGCAGGTTTGTAATGTAATATCCTATCGATTGGCGTATTTGGATTTAAATTTCATCTATAAATGACAAAGTTACAAGCGTTCAAAACCTAACACCCTTCACCACACATATTTTTTGATTTGCACCCCAGTATAGTCGACAAAGACGTAGTTCTACGTCAAAACTAGCGATCTGCTTTGTATGATTATAACCCTGCTTAATATGTTAAAAATTGCTATCACTATGAGATTATATGTGTTTAATTGGAAATAGGGATAGCTTTTCGGTCATCAATACAAAACTTTATTTTATCGGATCAGTGCGAATGTTATTTTCGACATTATGAAAATTTGCTCTTGAGTTTCTGGTATAAAGAAGGAGTTAGCCAAAAATATTTTTTAGTGCTTTCGGATCGATTATTGTATAGTTTTTATCTGTCAAAGAAATGGGATGTTTTAAAGTAGGAGTCAATTTAAAGTAGTATTCGTATCAATTAAATCAGAGAATATTCGGGGTAATAGAATTCAGGTTAATATTATTCTGGGAAATTGCATTCGGGGTAATTTCCTGAAACTGATCAAAATAAAAAAAAATATTTCTTTCTAATGCTTGTGCTGCATTTTCCCGATTGTCAATGCCTAAAATGTTAACAGGACTAACAGGAATCAGGTGATGATAGAATTTCTCAATTATGGGTAGTAAGCGTGGCGATGATTTGGCATATACTTGTCTTTTCTTTATAACACAATTATACAAAACGTAAATTTTTTGGAGCAGTCCTATTTCATGCGTCTACTCCGTTCACATAAATTATATGAAACATCCATTATGAGAAATGTTCTTTATGCAAAACATCTATTATGCGAAAGTTCCTTATGCGAAACGTAACGCCCCACTAGAAAGATCGTCAACCATCGAAGCGATTGAGATCAAAGTCCTTTCGCAATCTCAAAACAATGCTCGTCCATCACGAGCAGGGCCTATTTACTTGGTCCCACTAATCACTTTGCACTAGACGGCCACGTATTAGCGGAGCTCATGTGTTACCACCTTACTGATAATGCCAGTGTAAACTTATAGGCTTGCTGCTGTTAGTTTGCCAAGATTATCAGTCAGCCAATGTTTATTTTTTGTTATAATACCACTGTTTATCATGATTTTCTGTCATAGGGAGATTGATCAATCGATAAAAGCCACAACATTCCAGTCCAGCTACTCACTTCCCCAGTACAGATGATCTCTCGCTTGATATCACATTGTCTCGCTGCCGATGAGTCAGGTGTCACAGCCATTATGCTCGTTCGCAGCATGGGGGTATATCCCGCCCGACCACGGCTACGAGAACGACAAAGACACGTCACCGAGAGGCCGCGCGGAATCACGGAATTGGACGCCGAGTACAGGCGTACTCGAAAGTACACATGTACCCGGCCTGCGACGACGGGAAGCCCTTCTACCTCTTCTAATGTGTACATTCAACGCGTGGGGAAGGCGATAAGGAACCACACACAAGTAAATAAATGCTATGATTGGAACTTCGAAGAAGGTTAGAAGAAAGTATGGGTAATAATGGTGTTTAAGCCTTGTTTGCTGTTGATGAGTTAGGTCAGTCCTTCGATTAGTGGGAGTTTGAATAAGGGAGATTGGTGCTTGGTGAGAACCTTTGTTGTTGATTGAACAAATTATTTACTTTTAATCAAGCTTGTAACCATTCTGATGTAAGCTCGTTGTTAAGTGCCATTTGCAGCGAGCTGTGTTTGCTTGGTTGGGGTACACAAAATTCACGGATTCTGGCATGTCCAACCCTCATCTCCCCTAGACAGGCGTTCTCATCAAGTGTTAATAAAGGTTTCCATTTGTTTAGTTCCCTACAAATGGGAGAACCTATACAAACAGCAGAAAAGCAACGAAACACATAAACTGATTAACCGAGGAAGAGTGCGGGCGCATTTCTTACGCGATTGCAGTTCAGTTCAGAGCTTCAGTTTGTATTTGTCCGTTGACCTGCTAGAACGGGTGTCATATTTCTGGTTTTCGGGTGTGAGGTGAAAGCTTGTTAGAATCTGGTAAAAGTGGTTCGAGTGTGGTTGTGTGTGTTTGTTGAAGTAGGAATTTCTGCGGACAAGATGAGTGAACTCAAAAATTCGGCCGACGATTCCAGCTCCAGATCCAGTTCCAACGAGGATATCTCTGCCGAAAGTAATGGAATCGAAAGACGTGGTAAGTTGAGTAGTTGGTGCATAGTTTAACTGTGGAAAAGATGCGTGGTTCAATTAGGTAGGGGAAATGGCTCTAATGTTTTCTATTTATATTGAAATTTAACAATCTAAGATCACTGATAGTGTATGCCATTCTGCCATAAATGGATAGACTTGATTGAACTCACTTTGGACTAAGCACTACTTCAGCATATAGGACCAATTTCCGTCATAGGTGTCAAAAACAATAACGACAAACAGCTACTTTCAACATTCATGCATCACATTATTTGCCCACGTGCTAAATTACGAGTGCTGTAAAACAATAGTACTGGGCTGTCGGAAGACTGATTTAAGGGGGTATGCCGAAGTGAAGTGCGATATGCCGAAATGGTCACGCACCCTATATGCCGCTGTGACCTTGATCTTTAAAGTGTTTTTAATTCCATACACTTCAAAAATATTATGTATTGATTACTACTCGCTCGATGATCCTATTGATTAATATATATAAGTGAACCGAACTACCGAAACCAACTTTCACAAGATGGAGATCTCAACGGAAACTTACGTTTCTTGACAAATTTTCAACTAAACACGATAGTTACTAGAATGAAGAATGGATTGACATGAAAACATAGTTTTAGACTCCCTTTATAATGATTGAACTCGATAGCAATTCATGAGAAGAAGGTCAATTGTTGTATTTTACCGAAGACATCATATCAAGAAGACTGGCAACTTTTCCAGAATCCAAGCCACAGATACAATAGCGCTGCGCTTGAGACTTAAAAGATTATCAAAGAAAACTGGTGCAATTATTTGGAGGCTAAATAGAACAAATCTAGAAGCCATTCAAATCTGGCCGTGAATCATTCGTTTCTTCAAATTATTCTTGAGACTAGAATCGATTAGTCGTGAAACTACGTTGAACATCTTTAAGTGTTTACCTTTATGCTTTTACAACCACGTAATTCTGACGTGAAAGCTACGAACGAACGGAGCTGAATTGCATAACAAAACTAGGTAAAGCTATTACAGATTACCGCCATTCTCCACCTATTTCCACCGTCCATCGCGTTGTATGCTAGATTCTTGCATGCGTAGTCATATGCCACTTTTAAGTAAACATCGATTTACGATCGATTATGTACGGTCTTATCAATAGAAATTTATGAAGCACAGATAAAATGTTCATTGACACCCACGGAATTGTACGCCTATAGTATTCAGTTCATTGGACGCATTTGGTAGCGAACCACGCATCTTAGCGCTACGCACTGACAGACTAGATTTTTCAACTAACGAATAACTGAATTACAGCTCAACGCGAGTTCAAGGAGGAAATCGTCAAGGACATGGCCATCGACAAAATGCGGGAGAAGATGGATGTAAGTTGCGGGATCAAGTACTCCTGGTGACAGGTGCGATAAATGTCTCCGTACTTCATTCTAGACCATCGTCCAAAAGCTGGAGAAGGACGTCGCACGGAAGCTGGACCTGCTGGTAGATGACCTGGTCGGCGAGGTGAAGTTGTTCAACCTGAAGAACTACGAACTGCGGCAGTTGTTTCGCGATTCCAGTTCAGCGTCGTTGCAGCGATCGGCGGATGATTCGAACTCGCGGCGATCCGACAGGAAACGACGCACCGACGGAAAGCTACCGGATAAGGTATTCATGGCGAGGAACTCTCTGCTGACCGATTTGTTCGAGGTGAAGCACATCAAGACCATTTACCATATATTTTTGGTGATTTTGATCATCATGTTCCTGAACACCGTGGTGCACGACTTCGTCGATCGGGGGAGGTTCGTAGAATTGACCGTTTCGAGTTGTGAGTCATAACTTTGATGGAGTTTTGCGTTTTCAGCATAAACCTGGGTTTACGTCCAATCGTAGCCGGTTTTGGAAAGTTCCACACAACCCTGGCGTTGTGGGGATGTATGCAGTTGTCCGTATTGTGCGTCTATCCGTGCTTCTTCCTGTGGGCTCACGTTCGTAAAATTTTCAAGACAAGTAAGTTCTTCGTCATCTGCGATTCCCGAAATTCTAACTGTTTGATTTCACTTTTAGATCAGTACCGGAAAATATGGGACCTTTGCTCCATTTTCGGAGTGGCCCTGTTTCAGTGTTCGTTCGTCACTTTGGTCATCAAGACTGTTCTTCATCTGGACTTTCCACCGGCATCTTCCGTAGCCGTGCTCATGGAGATGACCCGATTTGTGATGAAGGTGCATGCCTTCGTACGGAGCAACATCCCACGTGCCCTCGCGTCAAGTGGGAAAACTTCAACCGAAGACAAACCACCACATGCAGTTATCGTGCCGTCGTTCGGCAAGTTCCTGTACTTCCTGTTCGCTCCGACTTTGGTCTATCGGGACGAGTATCCTCGCACTAAGAGAATCCGCTGGTCCGTAGTCTTCCGTCACATGCTGGAAGTGGTTGGCGTCATCTTCTACATCAGTTTCATCTTCGAACGATTCCTGACTCCGCTGTTCGATCGGTTCGGAGGTGCCGAGATCAGTTCTGGGAAGTTTGTGCTGGCTCTGTTCGGCAGTATTATGCCTGCATCGTTGTCGTTCCTGTGTGGATTTTACTGCCTGCTGCACGCTTGGTTCAACGCAAGTTCGGAGTTGCTTCGCTTCGCGGATCGCATGTTCTATCGGGACTGGTGGAACGCGTCGTCGTTCGCAGAGTATATCCGATCGTGGAATGTGGTGGTGCACGATTGGTTGTACACTTACATCTACAAGGATTCCGTTGAACACGTGTTCAAAAACTGTAATGCCCTCGCAACGGTGCTGGTGTTTACGGCTTCGGCAGTCTTTCACGAGGTGATTCTGGCGTTCGCGTTCCGGTTCTTCTATCCGGTGATGTTCGTGCAGTTTGAGTTCATGGGACTGCTGTTGATGTTCCTGACGCGGAATTTGAGCAAAGATGCGGGGAATATCCTGTTGTGGTTCATGCTCTGCATCGGAAACGGCATCCAGATGAGTTTGTACAACATAGAGTACTACGCGAGGAGGAACTGCCCGGTGAGCGGTGAATCGCTGGTGGATTATATGATTCCGGTGTCGTGGACGTGCCATGGAATCTCCCATAATCCGAACTGGACCTTCAGTGCCGTGGAATACTGACATTAGGGGTAGTTTATTGTATGTTTAGGGTCAGTGATATTTTGATAGAAATACTGCTTTGTATGTGCTACTTTTGCTGGTAAGAGTAATAAACAAAAGACTGTTGATTGTAATTAATCATGTATTGTTGTTTTTGACATCATCCACATCCAGAGAGCCAGTCACTTTCGAATGTATGGGAATGGTAGGAAACCATTTGGAAATACATGAAAATTTTCAGTTTTTATTTATTATCGTCTTTATGGGCAGTTTTAGATGCACAAAAATTGCACGAGTACATTACTATGGTGATAAGGTAAACACTCGTTTATTTGTTTCCTTCTGTGAAAGCATGTTTAGTCACAAATCGTGGATTTTCTGATAATCTCCATACTGCAAAAATGATTTTCCTACCACTGAAGGGGCGACATCTCTCGGATCTTCAGTATAGCTACTGCTCAAATCATATAATTAATTGTATATACTGTGGTGCAGCGTTTTTCAATCGAATTGGGTCGCAGAACATGGGGCCTCCCTTAGCTCAGTCGGTAAAGGTGCAGCTACAAAGCAAGACCATGCTGGAGGTGGCTGGGTTCGATTCTCGGTCCGTTCTAGTAATGGACACCAACACCGACACTGGTTCACCTTTTGCTCGAGTGTCACTGACGGAGAACTGACAGTTCAACGAAGGCGGAAACGGTAATTGTTTTTGGTCAGTCATTGTCTTCACTTGACAATTTACTTACAAACCTTACTTACGCAGCAGAAAGCATAGGCAGAAGTAATTGTACGTCCGGAGCGCATTTTTCGCAGAGCAGGAGCAGAAACTAAATCTGCAAATATTCGCTAGTTATCTAATTTCCTTTCAAAATAAAATTAAATAATTTCTAGTTTGAGCTGATTCAAACGAGCTGCTACGAATGGCGTTTCCTTTTCCCAATAGGGGGAGTTTGGTAAAGAGAGATGATCAAACCGATTTGTACCTTCCTAAAGTTGTCCTTGCTCGCTTTCTACTCTCTATATGCAATTTTCACACTGCCGTACTCTAACGGAACTATCAATTCTATACTTTCATCTCCTCATCTATCTTATAAAAATTACCACTTTAGTCTCTTATTTGAAATTAGCATTTTAAACAAGTGTTGGGAAAATATCAAAAAATCAAATCTCACCAACGCCCAAGATCACGCTTGATTTTTGTAGAAAAAATATCAACAAGCAAACTATGCTTTCTCTTTCTAAGAAAACGATGTGCAATGGAATCATTTTTGTGTCTCAGCTTGATTTTTGCACGTTGTGAATAGTCTCGCAATATCAAAGGAGCCTGTAAAATCAATATCAAGCATGATATTTTGCGAGCCCATGAGAGCGGAAAAATATCGATTGATTTCTGATTTTGCCAACACTGTCTTCAACTATGTAAATCGTTGACTTCACGCATAAGTCACACTAAACATATAGTCAAAGTAAATAGTTAAAGTCAAATTTGAGTTTAGTTCACTCATAATCGCCAAAAGTGTAGGAACTCAGCGATGAGTGAAATAGACATGACAGTGGAAATCCTCAAAAATCTGCCGGAAAATGAGGTCAAATGACGAAAATTTTACTCAGTCCAGGAGTAATACCAATAGACTGAGTGAATCCAATTTTCACTTCTCTCATATTCGGGAAGTTTTTCTTGGACACACCTGGAAAAACATGAGCTAAGTTCAGTCATCACTGAGTTCCTGCACTTTATGTGATTTATGAGTAAACTAAACTCATTCGCCGTGTACTTGAAAACATGTTTTGCAATAGAAATGACGCCTGTGAAAACGTTGTACGCGGAGAACCAAAACTACCCAGAGTTCTTTAAAATTACTTTTGAGTTGATCTAACTTGCTCTCTTGTTGTTGTCAAAAACGAAAAGAGCAAAACTAGAGTCGGTGTATAATGAGTCACGCCAAGAGTGAAGCCAAGTCTACCTATTGAACTGTCAAATCGGCTACCTATCGTGCAAAGTAAATAAACATTACGATGCTATGAAAGGTCCACGAAAGGTATTGCAATGAAATATAACATAAAATTGAAGAAATCATCATAAACACGCAGCGAGCATTAAATGGTCATGGGATACGTTTGGTTTTGATCAGTATACTTATCGTATATTATCGTTAATCAAATTAAAAAAAGCATTGGTGAAATTAAAAGTTTGCGTTGGTTCTTTTTGGTAGAAAGTCTTCAGCATTCAAAACAAAACTCAGTCAACTGTTAATTCAAAAGTTGTTCGTTCCCTACTTTTAAAAGTTAAAACTTTCAAAATGAATTGTTGTACTGTCAAATGGAAAGCGTGGGAATGTTGAAATTAAAAGCGGATTAGATCTTTTTAATTAAAACAACTTTTAATACGAAACTATGGTATTTCGGATCGTAAAAATATATATTTTCATTTTAAAAACAAGTATTTTAATTTTTACAGTAAAATTTTAATTTTAAGACTTAATTTGTATTACATTAAAAATTATTACTATTCAAATGATTTATTACTAAATATATTTTATTTACATTAAAACTGGATTCCGTTATCTGGTTCCGGACTAAGCTGCTCTGGTCATCCGTCTGATTTATCCGAAAGAATTTGATCTCATCAGCTGATGCTGCGGACATCCTCTATTGGGACCATTTCGTCCACCCGGTTTCCTAAAGCGTCGGTGCAGTGGCCTTGGAATCCTCCAAAGATTTCCTTTCTACGGACTGATTCGCTCCTTAAGGAAGTCGAGTTTCTTAGCATAAACGTCCTGGTATGCTTCTCAATTGGGTTGTATATCGGAGAATTTTCTTCCTGCCTCAAGCGTGGCTGAATCAGCAGCTTGCTAGCCGTGTACGCTTCCCGATTCACAACCTACCTTTTCCGTTGAAATAAGCTCGTTTTTTCTGCAAAAATACAACAAAAACTGTTTTATTTCCTGACGGTGAGGGTTTTAAAATCTATTCTTACTTATTGCAGCTTTCGACATTTCCAGAAGCTATTTCGTGGCGTTGATCCATAAGCAGTTCCAATTGTCAGGATCAGAATGCATGTTTGTTCGAGCCGGACGTCACACTTGCGGAACCCTTGCTCGCTGATCATTCAGGCACACTGAGCTTATTTCGTTGGTTGCTATGACACCTGAAATTTGTTGAAATTAGTGGTGGCTCGAGTTGTGGTGTACCGCTCTGCTAGTAGCAGGAACCGATTCCAATGCCATAAATAAACCGGCGGAAGAAAAATTTGGACAAGTGGAAGCACTCCTGCTGCTCACTGCTACGTCTTGTTTACTTTAGCACGTGTAAAATTTAGCAGAAAACTAAGGTGCAGTGCTGCCAAAACTTTGTAATTAAGAGGTATTTTTGACAATTATACAATTTTTATTTAAAAAAATCCACTTTTAAAATTACAAGTCGAAAGTGAAAGAAACACTTTTGAACGAAAAAAAAAGTTTCGTTTTGAATATTTTCGTAGTTAAAACTACGAAATCTGCGAAACTTTTAATATAAAATTGCATAATTTTTAGAGCTACAATATTTGTTTTTTGTGTGTAATGAGAATTTCTTCTATTTTTTGATAAGATAATTTGACAAAATCATTGATATTATGATTCACTACAGCCGTTATTTTTGGTTCTCGCTAGAAGTCATTTAAAGTTGATGTAGAAGTCCTCTGTTGCCAAGTGAAAAGAAAGGGAATCCTTCGGAAACCGTGATGCGAGTTCAACTGTTTTTCTCTTGGCGTGACTCATTATACACCGACTTTAAGCAAAACCGAGGGGGACGACTCTATCTACGATGCAGAAAAGATTGCGTTTTGCTGTGGCTAGCTGCACGCACGCTGAGTAGATAAAAGGAAGATTTATGTCGATTTTGAAGATTTCCTGCAAAAAGATGAAGCACGATGCAAGTAGATGCGAGGAATGAAAGATGATTTTTCGAAGATTGATTCGCTAGTGTGAGATTTTTTGAGCATCTAGAATTGAGATTTAGATGTGTCGCCCCCCTCGAGCAAAACAACCCAAAATTGAGTTCTATTCACCCAACTCGACAGTTCCGTGCGCCAGGTTAAAATTGAGTAAGTTGTGTAAAACTCAATTTTGAGTAGTTTGAACTTAGCGTTGAGTGAAAACAACTTAAAAGTAAGTAATCCTGTTTACACGCTATTTCAAAACTACCCAAATTTGGGTAGAATACACCCAGATCCGTCAAAACTGAACCTACCTAAAAATGGGTAAACTGTGTTGGGAGCGAGGGGGGCGGCACATCTAAATCTCAAGTTTAGATGCTCAAAAAATCTCACACTAGCGAATCAATCTTCGAAAAATCTTCTTTCATTTGTCGCATCTACTTGGAAATCTTCAGAATCATCATCAATCTTCTTTCTATCTACTCAGCGTGCGCGCAGCTAGCCACAGCAAAACACAATCTTTTTTGCATCATAGATAGAGTCGTCCCCCTCGGTTGGGAGTGACAAGTTGACAAATGAACAACATTGACATGAATCCGATCGACGTAGTTCATTTGTCAACATGTCATTCCCAACACAGTTTACCCATTTTTGGGTAGGTTCAGTTTTGTCCGATCTGGGTGGATTGTACCCAAATTTGGGGAGTTTTGAAATAGCGTGTACATGCGAGTGAATGACAACTAAAAAAAATTTTTTTTTGTTGCTTTATTATAGAGACTTTCAGCATTTAGCTGGCTCGTCTCTTAAGGCCGGCGCACAATAGATACGTTTTCAGGTTTTTTGACAGTTAACCCATGCATTATCTGTCAAAAAACCCGAAAACGTATCTATTGTGCGCCGGCCTTTAACTCAAAATTGAGTATGCGCTAGAAATACTCAGAGGGAGAGATGGGCGGAGAAAACAAAATACAATTCGGCAGCAGGGATTTGTACCTAAATAATCTTGCAACCCTTGCTAGAAGCTAGCATTTCACATGACTGTTACTTTTGATTCGATTTACGTGCAAAATAATAATTGATTTCATCGCAATATTTTGCACATTTCTTTGTGCCATTAATTAACCAACTAAGATCAATTAATCAATAGAGTTAGAATATTGTTTTTTATTCAAAAAACTAGTTGAATTTGAGAAGCACACGAAACAAAAGTGCAGGAACTCAGCGATGAGTAAATTTGCCTCATGTTTTCCCAGGCTTTTCCAGGGAAAAATTTTCCGAATTTGAGAAAAGTAAAGATTGGATTCACTCAGTCTATTGGTACTACTCCGAGACTGAACAAAATTTTCGTCAATTTCCTCATTTTTTGGCAGATTTTTTAGGTTTTCCACAGGAAACCATGAGACAAATTTTACTCATCGCTGAGTTCCTGCACTTTTAACGATTATGAGTGAACTAAACTCAAATTTGAGTTGTTCTCATTCGCCGTGTAGTAAGAATAAGAAATCCTCGGAAAAATTCTAATGGGAATGTTCGATTGGCTCAGATTTTGACAGTTCATTTGGCTCAAAACATTCCTTCCTAGTATGCGCTAGAACTCTAAATTTAGTTGGAGCACGGAACTGCCAACCTGAGTGAAAAGAAATCAAAATTATGTACTGCCGTGTAACAAAAACTAATTAAACATATCTTTTAAAGAGCCTAAATTGGAATAATCGATTGTCTGTCAAAGTCATAGGAAAAGTCATTCCAATCGAGCAGAAGACCTGTCAAATGGATAATAATATTGACTTTATATACTTTCGATTAGGACAATAAAAAAAATCGATTTTTTGAAAGTTTACATTTCTCGAAATGTATACATTCGATTCGTCCGATTCGTTTTGATTTCTGTTCAGTACTATTTTGTGCAGTCCACGATCGTTCGGATTTCGTCTATCATTTAATTTCGATTTTTTACAGCCGATCAAAGACAAATTTTAAGGATCGAAAATCGTTACTTCAACAAAGCAAAACCGCCATTTTGTCAAAAAAATTAAAAAAAAAAACCGAACGATCAAGGACTAGTTAACGATTTGGCATGTTTTTTTTTCAGATGATTACATCACAAACCGCAGTTGGCACCGAGGGGGACGACTCTATCTACGATGCAGAAAAGATTTAGTTTTGCTGTGGCTAGCTGCGCGCAGGCTGAGTAGATAGAAAGAAAATTGATGACGATTCTGAAGATTTCCTGCAATACGATGATGCGCGATGCAAGTAGATGTGACAAATGAAAGAAGATTTTTCGAAGATTGATTCGCTAGTGTGAGATTTGTTGAGCATCTTAACTAGAGATTTAGATGTGTCGCCCCCCTCGGTTGGCACCGCAAAAAGCGTTTTTTAGAACATCGTCCACGGGGAGCAGCCGTGCGGGGCACCAGGACCTCGTTTTTACAGCATCGACTGATAAATGTACCATTTGATGTGTGTTCAATAAACGGCAGAAAACCGATTTTCAATATGTTGCGTCGTTTTCGAGAAAAAAAAAATCCAAACTTTCGCTTTTTTTCGGTCTTGCAGGTAGGCGTAACCCTTAAATTTGTATCATGGTTTCCTGTGGAAAATCTAACAAATCTGCCGGAAAATGAGGAAATTGACGAAAATTTTATTCAGTCTCGGAGTAGTACCAATAGACTGAGTGAATCCAATCTTTACTTTTCTCAAATGAGTCCGCATCGTGCTCTCTTGCCGTGCGGATCTATTTGCTTTTTGCTGAAGGAAGTGTTACTACTACCTAAAGCTACAACAAATTTAAACAGCACTTTTCAGTGCTCAACCTGTAAAAATTTTCTACCTTGTTCAACTCTTATTCCTCTTCGATCCTTGTTTGGACCCTACCCGAGGTAATCCTTCTTGGATATCGATTTGGAAAATTCCTCTTCGATCCTTCAGATTCTTATAGTAATCTGCTTGGAAGTCGATTTGGATAAAAATTTACTGCCGCCATGGCGTCTAAACGCAAAAGAAAGGGGCAAACTCTTGACCCCCCTTCTGATGAAATTAATTTGAGTAATCAATTTGATTTGCTCACGGATGATGAGAATGATCCATCATCCAAGAAAAATTCTAGTAAACTTTCCCGGCTTAATGCCAAGAAGGAAAAGATTCCCCCTATTGTGATAACCACTTCCGATTTCCATGCTCTTCGCATGGAACTTTTGAATTTCGTGAAAGTTAAGTTTTCACTACAAATTGGACGTCGGGGTGAATGCCGTGTATTGGCTGAAACTTTGGACGGATTTAAATGTCTTCTCAAGTATCTTACTGAGAAGAAGCACAATTTTTTTACTTACGACACCAAAACTGAACGTGTGTTCAAGGTTGTCATGAAAGGACTGCCCAGTGGTGAATCCCTGGATCAGATCAAAGATGAACTGGCAAAATTACTTGGAGTTGTGCCACTCCAAGTAATCAAAATGAAAATGAAATCCCGTCCTGGCGATTCGCGCAACGGGATTTCTAATGATTTTTATTTAGTTCACTTCAAATCTAGTGAACTAAACAACCTTAAGGCCTTAGAAAAAGCTAGCCTTATGCTCCATGTCCGAGTGAAGTGGGAACACTTCAGGAAGACTGGAGGAAATTTCCAAAACCTCACCCAGTGCCGTAAGTGCCAGGGATGGGGTCACGGAACTAAAAATTGCTACATGCCAGCTAAATGCATGAATTGTGGTGATTCCTCTCACACAAAGGACGACTGTCCTGTGAAGGAAGATCCTAAGAAATTTAAATGTTCAAATTGTGGTGAAAACCACAAATCCAATTTTTGGGAATGTAAGACTCGCAAAGCGATCCTACAATCTCGTTCTAACCGTCAGGTAGGAAACGCTCCACGTTTCCGACCAGGTACAAATTCCTCTGCTGTTAACAACGGTCAGCGAGGAACAAATTCTACATTCGTACCCGTAGGTACAAATATCTCCCCTGCTTCAAATGTTTCATCTGTACCTACTCCCCTCGCTGCTAACAATGTTCAGCGAGTTAATGGAGCTACCTATGCTGCTATTGCAGCGGGTAGAAATCAAAATACTAACCAACGTTCTAACGGAAATTTTGACAATTTTGACTTAGGAAGCATTACTGCCCCCAAAATGGAATTTTTACAGAATTCATTAATTGACATGATTTCTGATATGCTTAAATCTAACTCCATGTTTGATGCTATTCAAACTGGAGTAAAATTTGCAAATAATATTGTCATGACTTTAAAATTCAGTAATGGATTTTAAAGCATTAAATATTGTAAATTGGAATGCTCGATCTCTTAAAGATAATGAAGACGAGCTATTTAACTTTTTGAGAGTTCATAACGTGCATATTGCCGTTATAACTGAAACGTTCCTTAAACCTGCCCATAAGGTTAAGAAGGACGCAAATTACTTGATTTATAGAAATGATCGTCTTGGTGGTGGCGTTGCCATCATTATTCATAGACGAATCAAACATAAAATTCTTTCTTCATTTGAAACCAAAGTTTTTGAAACTTTGGGAGTTTCTGTTGAAACAAAATTTGGACAACTTACGTTTATAGCTGCCTATTTGCCATTCCAATGCGTAGGCCAGCAAAAGAATTTTCTCAAGGGTGACCTCCAGAAACTTACCCGTCATAGGTCTTAATTCTTCATTATTGGTGATTTTAATGCAAAACACCGCTCATGGAATAATGCTCAAAGCAATTCCAATGGTAATATTCTGTTTGATGATTGTTCTGCAGGTTATTACACTATTCAATATCTAAACAGCCCAACATGCTTTTCTTCTGCAAGAAATCCCTCCACTATTGATTTGGTCTTAACTGATTCATGTCAACTTTGTAGCCAATTGGTTACCCATGCTGACTTCGGTTCTGATCACCTTCCAGTAACTTTTGAAATATCCCAAGAAATAATTTCTAATCCCAACAGCTCTACTTTCAATTACCATAGGGCTAATTGGGAGCAATATCGAACATTTATGGAATATAACTTCGATCCAAACATTCCTTTGCAAACCAAAGATGAAATTAATTATGCTCTTGAATCTCTGACTACTTCTATAGTTGAAGCAAGAGCTGCCTCAGTACCAAAATGCGAGGTTAAATTCGATTCAATTATAATAGACGATGATCTTCAGCTCTTGATCCGTCTTAAAAATGTCCGTAGGAGACAATATCAAAGAACACGCGATCCTGCCATGAAAGTTATCTGGCGGGATTTGCAAAAACAAATTAAAAAGCGATTCTCTGCCCTGAGGAACAAAACTTTTGAAAATAATGTTTCTAAATTAGACCCGAGTTCCAAACCCTTTTGGAAACTCACAAAAATTTTGAAAAAACCTCAAAAGCCAATTCCAGCGCTTAAAGAAGGTGGTAAAATTTTGATCACAAATTTGGAAAAAGCTCAGAAACTTGCTAAGCAATTCGAGAGTTCCCATAATTTCAGTTTGGGTCTTACTAGTCCTATTGAGAATCAGGTTGCTCGGGATTTTCTGAATATTTTCTCTCGGGAAAATATTTTTGATGATTCCTGGGGGACTGATTTGGACGAAGTAAGGTCTATAACTAAAAATTTTCAAAATATGAAAGCTCCAGGTGATGATGGAATTTTCTATATCCTCATCAAAAAACTCCCAGAGAGTACCTTGTCTTTCTTGGTAAAATTATTTAACAGATGTTTCCATTTGGCATACTTTCCTGATAAATGGAAAAATGCAAAAGTTGTTCCAATTTTGAAGCCGGATAAAAATCCAGCTGAAGCTTCTAGCTACCGCCCAATAAGTTTGCTTTCTTCAATAAGTAAACTTTTTGAAAAGATAATTTTGAATAGAATGATGCTTCACATCAATACGAACTCAATTTTTGCAGATGAGCAGTTTGGATTTCGCCATGGGCATTCAACTACTCATCAACTCTTAAGAGTTAACAATTTAATTCGTTCAAACAAATCTGAAGGCCACTCGACTGGAGTTGCTCTTCTAGACATAGAAAAAGCATTCGACAGTGTTTGGCATGAAGGTTTGATTGCTAAATTGAAAAAGTTTAATTTTCCACTTTATATTATTAAATTAGTTCAAAATTATTTAACTGACAGAACTCTGCAGGTAAATTATCAAAATTCCAAATCTAATCGACTACCTGTTAGAGCAGGAGTTCCTCAGGGTAGCATTCTTGGGCCTATATTGTATAACATTTTCACTTCGGACCTCCCTGATTTGCCTCAGGGTTGCCACAAATCTTTGTTCGCTGATGACACAGGCATTTCCGCTAAAGGAAGAAGTCTTCGTGTTATTTGCAGCAGACTGCAGAAAAGTTTAGATATTTTCTCTTCTTATTTACAAAAATGGAAGATTTCTCCCAACGCTTCCAAAACTCAACTTATAATATTTCCACATAAGCCTAGAGCTTCGTTTTTGAAACCTAGTAGTAGTCACATAGTCACTATGAACGGAGTTCCAATTTCCTGGTCAAACCAAGTGAAATATCTTGGATTAATACTTGACCAAAAATTAACTTTTAAAGATCACATTGAGGGCATTCAAGCTAAATGTAACAAATATATTAAATGTTTGTATCCTCTTATAAACAGGAAATCCAAACTTTGCCTGACGAATAAACTTCTAATATTTAAACAAGTTTTTAGACCGGCCATGCTTTACGCTGTGCCAATATGGTCTTGTTGTTGCACTACCAGGAAAAAAGCACTTCAAAGAATTCAGAACAAAATTCTGAAAATGATTTTGAAGTTGCCTCCCTGGTACAGTACAACCGAAGTACATAGAATTTCGAATGTTGAGACTTTAGCACAAATGTCCAACAAAATAATTAATAATTTCAGGCAAAAATCGTTGCAATCCTCAATTGCAACGATTAATTCCCTTTATACTTAGATAAGATTTAGTTTTAGTTTTTAGTTTTAAGATATCAATTGTTATACTGACATGCAGGTTAAAAAACCTGTTTAAAATACTGAATTGCCAAGACATGAACAATGTAAAAACACTTAGATATATATCATAACAATTAAGGCTGGTACGTTACTGCAGTAACTGGAGCACCTAGGTTAAAATGAAATGTAATTTATTTTGAATTTGAAACAAATAAAGAAATAAAAAAAAAAAACTTTTCTCAAATTTGGGATTTTTTCCCTGGAAAAACCTGGGAAAACATGAGGCAAATTTTCTCAGCGCTGAGTTCCTGCACTTTTGGCGATTATGAGTGAACTAAACTCAAATTTGGGTCGTTCTCATTCGCCGTGCGGTTCCAATGTTTGAAAACCCTTAAGCTCCTCGAAATCGGCATTCTTTCATACAGCCATTAAATGCAAAGCGTTCTACAATTCATTCGCTATTTATATTATCTTACAAATATTCAGCCTATAAACCCTTTAAATATTTACATACCCCTCACCACCCGCCGACCCCGGCAATTGTATGCCTGGCACTCACCGTTCCACCAATTACCGCTGCCGGTCCTCCACCATTGTTCGATGGGCCCCTCTTCTCGTTGATCTCCGGACAGATGGTGCTGAGATTGAAGTTCGTTAGCGTCGAACTGCTACCACTGCCGCCAACGACTGCTGCCGAAGCCACCGGCGACGGCTGGTACGGTTGACTACCGAAGGAGTAATTCGGCATGGTGGCTTGGTACGATTGTTGGTAGCTTGTGGTCGTTACCACATTGTAACCACTGAGGGGATCGTCCAACGTTGGTGCTGACGGTAAACTAGGTGGCGGCGGTAGAATCGTTGGGAAGCTCGATGAAAGGGAGCTGTAGTCGGTCGACGGCAGCGGCTGTTTGTGGTGCTTCTTCGGTTTCGCGTTGGTAGGGTTAGATGGGAGTGTTCGTTTTTCCGTCGCAGGGACATAATACGGGATATCGGGAACGGTACCCGATTGGTAGGAAGAGTTCTGATAGTAGCTACCGGTGGCAGAAGAGCTTGATTGTTTCTTATCCGACGGGTATCCATAACCGGCGTAGCAGCTGGTAACCGGGAACGATGACGAGGAGGGGGTCGTTAAAGTGGCCGATGATATCGTAGAGAGACCGTAGCTGTTGTCAACGAACGAAGGCATGTAGTTCTGTTGGCAGCTGTAGTTGTAGTTTTTGCTGTAGTCGGTTGAATAATCGAAGTTGAACGAGAGACCAGCTCCGGAGTTCACTTCGGGTTGGTACGTACTGTAGCTGTTGTAGCTGGTATCGGTGTAGAATTTGTCTTTTTTGCTGGAACTGCCAGTGGACGTTCCAATGAGCGATTCGGCGGAATAGTTGTTGTTCAACGGCTTCTGGTTGGTGGAGTAGTTACTGCAACTGGAGTAATTCTTGCTGGTTGTACTTTTTCGGGGCTGATCGACCAGCTGCTGAACGGAAAGGAAGGTGCTACACGAATCATTAGGCTTTCGTTGCTGATGGATCGGTTTGTTCGTATTCAGGGGGCAGTTGAGGGCTAGGTCTCCGTGCAGGTTCGGTAGGCTAGTGGTGGTCGATGGATAGTACGAGGACGTGGTGTCGTTGAGGATGTTGGTAAGCTTGTTCGGTGACCACGTTACCAGGTTATCCTCGCCAGATGGATGGGCGAAGAAGATGTCCGATTTGCGACTCAGATCGATGTTGGTTTGGTAGGTATGAGACGGCGCAGCGTTGAAGTCAAGCGACGGGAGAAGTTGACTGTAGTCTTGGTTGTTGGTAGATGGTTTCGGATCTTGCGAAGTCATCCAGTTGACATCGTATTTGGACTGCGAGTGTGTTGATGTTTGTGTTGGGAATGTTGACTGGACAGTGGAAATTACGGGGTAGTGATTGACCTTCTGCTTCGGTGGTGTTTTGTAG